AGGGAGGTGGAGGCGGGAACTGCTCCGTTTGTCTGAGGCAAAGACCCCTCCCCTTCCTCCTTGGCCTTGGGGAGCTGGAGGAGGGGCTGGCCAACAGCTCTGACCCCACCTCCTAGGTACCCTCTCTTCCAGCCTTCCCATCTGTCAGGGCTGCTGTCCCAGAGGGCCAGGCATCCAGTAGGTGCTCAACAGATAGCAGCCGCCGCTGGTCTGTGGTCTGAGGGTGATATGGGTGAATGGGCTTCAGACTTGGCCCCAGAAGAGCCAGAGAGGACCCACCCCACCCCCAAGCCAGGCCCACCACCCACTGTGGGTTAGCAGGGATGGCCGCCCCATTCCAGTGACATCAGTGAAGCAGCCTCCAATCCCTGGCCCCTTCTGACCTCGCCCAAGGGGACTGAGTCCTCCCTGCCCCAGTCTTTCTCCCCATTAGTACCATTTGCTTTACTCTTGCCTGCTCTGACTCCTTTTGCCTGATGGGTAACAAGCTACCATTTTACAGACCCGGTCCACCAAGCTGAGAGCCTGAGTGGCAGTTACAAACATGCCGCCGCCGTCACCTCCCACTCCGAGGTTCATGCATGATAGGTGTGGCACGTGGTGATCTGGGCCTCCTCCCCAGTGTGTGAGCTGTCATCACCCTGTCCAACTCCAATCCCCAAGGCTGCAGTCCCCGCAGAAGGTAGAAACTCTGCCTCAAAGGCTAGTACATCCAAGGGGCGGGGCCAGAGCACTGTGCCCAAAAATGTGGTCAGGCAGGACAGAGCCCCTGGGACCCCAGGTGAGGGAGGGGATCTCTTCCAGTCTCTTAGTCTCTGAAGGACCCACTTATGACTTGTGTCCTCAGAATAGACACACACACACACACACATACACACACACACACACACACACAATGTGTGGGCTGGGGCTAGCCAAAATTCTAGAAGCCTTGGAGATGCTGGCAAACTCTTCAGGACAGGGGATACCTAACCTGCTACTCTATACCCCCAGACCCTTCAGAGAGAGAGAGAGAAACCTACCCCAACCCCCCCACCACAACCACCACCATCACCCCCAGCCTCCTGCCTCTCAGAGCATTAGCCTGGCCTCAGCATATGGAACCCCCCTGTCTATATGCCTTTTGTTCTGGGTAGGCAGCTGGGCAGACACAAAAAAGACAGCTCGGCATTGTGCTTTTTGAATCCACGGAGAATTGACTGAGGGGCCGTCCATTGTGGGCTCTGCCCTCCTGCAAGATGGCTCCTGGAAGCTGCTAAAGGGAGAAGCTGGGGCTGAAGGGGGTGGGTAGGAGAGGAGGGGTGAGCAGAGATGTAAATTTGCAAATGTCTGGGGAGTGCTTGTCTCCCTGGAAGGAAGGGAGGGGCTCTCATTCACCTCTAGGAGCTCCAGGCTGCAGCAAGTCAAGAGCAAATGTGGGTTTCAGACAATCGGGTCCATCTGAGCGGAGGTCCAGCCAGGCCCATGTCCCAGCAGCAAAACTCTCTCCCCCTCCCCCTCCCTCCCTCCCTCTCTCTCTCTCTCATCCTCCCTCTCTTCCTCTCTCTCTCATCCTCCCTCCCTCCCTCTCTCTCTCTCTCCCTCTCTCTCTCTCTCTCCCTCCCTCCCTCCCCACTTGTTTCTCCGCCTTTGGCACTCAGCAACAGTCCTGAAAGCACCCATGCCCATGCAGCATCAGTACTAACCTAGCTTCAGCGCTCAATCAGTACACAACACCACACCTGCACATCAGTAGTACTCACTGGGCATCAGGACCTTTTCACACAGCATCGGTACTCACACAGCAGGGGTACTTACATGGCATCGGTACCCATGTAGCATTAGTGCTCACATAGCACCATCAGTATTCACAGAATTGGTACTCAGTCACACGGCTTGAGCTCACTCGGTGACACAACCCCTGAAGCATCAGTACTCACATAGCACTAATACCCGTGTAACAGTAGTACTCGCACAGCAACGGTACTCACGTAGTGCTAGTATCCATGTAAGATCAGTACTCACGTAGCGCCAGTACCCATGTAACAGTGTTGTTCACACATCAGTACTCAGCACCAGTACCCATGCAGCAGTAGTACTCACACAACACCAGTACTCACATAGCACCAGTACCCATGTAAGACCAGTATTCAGGCAACGCCAGCACCCATAGAATCAGTACTTGCACAGCATGTCACTCACATAGTGACAATTCCCATGCAACTTTAGCCACTCACATAGTGACAATTCCCATGCAACTTCAGTGCTCACAAATACCAGTATCTGCATAGCGTTAGTACTGAGGCAGCCTTAGCATTCGCATAGCGAAGAACAGAGGTGTAAAAATTAATTACAGAGATGCCAAGTCAGCAGCTTCTGCCTCCCGGGGAAACATCTGCCCCAGAAGTCACCACAGCTTTGCCCCTCTTGAGGGTCTAGATATCACAAAGGACTCTGTCCCTAGAACACTGTGTGTATTCCATCTCCCTTGGCTCAGGCCTGGGAACAAAGTCACCTCCAGTTTCTACAGCTGTCAAATAGCTGGGGTCAGTAGGTCACCCCACACTCACTGGTGCTGACCAAGCTGGGTTTCGTGGCCAGCACTCTTCCTGACAAGGATGTTTTCCTTAGGTTTGCATAAGTAGCGAACTGGCCAGCTAAGGACACTGGTGGGCAGGAGTGAGGAAGGCTGGGTAGGAGCCAGGCAGCCTTGGTGGCATCCTCTGGGCTGTATGTCGCTAAGTGTGCCTTTCTCCATCCGAGCTGGCCTCTTCCCCTGAGTCTCCATCTGTTGTCTTATTCCTTCTCAAAACATTGCTGAAAGCTTGGGGCGGGGGAGGGGCGGGGGATAATTTTAGCTCCACAATTTGGAGTTTACAATTCAGATCGACTTGCCTCCTGCAGAAGAGGCATGTGCATAGAGCTGCAGGGTGCCATGACAGAGTTAAGAATAATTGAATATGTTGGGGGTGGGGGGGCTGGGAGAACTCCAGAGTCATTGTAGGAGAATTTGGAGTTTTGGTTGGCATTTAAAACTTTTTTTCATGTATTTCTGTAATTTGTGTGCATGTGAGTGTAGGAGCCCAGAGATGCCAAAAGAGGGCGTCTGAATCCTTGGAGCTGGAGTCACAGGCTGTTGTGAACTGTACCGTGTGGTGTGGGTGCTGAGACCCAAACCCAGGTCCTCTGGAAGAGCAGGAGATGCTCTGACTGCTGAGCCATCTCTAGTCGCTGTAGACTTTGTTTTCATGATGATATCCTGACTTCAGCTTGCTTTTACCGTGAATCACATACGGGTGGGCACCTGCGTTTCCACTGCCCAGGGTTTCCCAACTCTTAATCTAGCTCAAGCTTAACCCCTTGTCGCAGAGTACAGGGGTGGCCCAGGCTAGAATGCTTCTTGGGGCTGCAGAGATGACCCAGTGGTTAAGAGCGCTTGTTTTTGCTGAGAACCCAGGTTCAATTCCCAACACCCACATGGCGGCTCACAACTGTCCATAACTCCAATTCCCAGGTCCAGTGTCCTCTTCTGACATTTAGACACACAGATGGTGCACAGCCATACATTCAAGCAAAGCCCTCATACACGTTAAATACATGCCTTAAAAAATTTAATAGAAAGCATCTTGTCATGGGTGATCAGGGTTCCGAAATGGAAATCGTCCCTAAAACCATTGTGCTATATCAAGGACACCAGATGCAGCTGGGCATGGTATCTGTAATTCCAGCACTCAGGAGTCTGAGGCATGAGGATTGTTGCACACTTAAGGCCAGCCTGGGCTATATAGTATGTTCTAGACCATCTTGGGCTAAAGAATGAGACCTTGTCTCAAAAACCAATGAACTAAAAGACACTAGACATAAAAATATATAGAGTGGACACGTCTGTATGGAGGCTCCGGAACAGGTGTTCCTGAAGAAATGTGTAGTTGTGTTGGGGAATGGAGGGGATAGGGAGAGAGGGCTTAATAGATGCAGGGTTGTATTTTGAGGTGACCAAAATATCTGGAGTTGGACAGACCTAATGGCTCACAGTGTCACAGACTAAACAGTGCTGAATTGCTCGTTTTAAAATGGTTGGCTTTCAACTGGAAAGAATAAAGGCTAGGATTTGAGTGTGTAGGTCTGTCTGGCTCAGCAATGTGGGTCTGAAATCTTAGCTATCATGAGGCTCAGCAGGAAGAATACAAGTTGGAGGCCGGCATAGCGAGTTCAAGGCCAGTCTAGGGAAACCCTGTCTCAAAAAGAAAAACTAGAAAGGAGGCCGGGTGTGGCTCAGTGGTAGAACACTTGCCTAGCTCAAGTGAGACCCTAGTTTTCAAGCTTTAATGCCACAAGGGGAAAAGATGGCCTTCTTGCCCTGGACAACACATGATGGTAAGCATGTCATCCCTGCTCTCCCTGAGGGGAGAGGGAAGGGAACATGAAGGGACACTGTGGTAATGAAAGGTTGAGATGCTCAAGACCCAAGGCTTGAAAGCCAAAATGTTCTGTGCCTTTGAGCCCTGACCTCACAAGGACACTGACACCCCGATTCTCTGTCCTCCTAGGGAAGCGACAGTGAGTATGAAGTGGACACGAACCCCCAGAAAGCCCACTCCTTCGTCAACCACTACATCAGTGACCCCACGTATTACAACTCTTGGCGGCGCCAGCAGAAAGGCATCTCTCGGGCCCAGGCCTACAGCTACACAGAGAGTGATTCTGGAGAACCTGACCATGTCACTGTCCCCAATAGCAACAGCACCCAGCAGGGCAGCCTTTTCCGGCCCAAGGCCAGCCGGACTCCAACGCCCCAGAACCCCCCAAACCCTCCAAGTCAGCAAAGCACCCTCTACCGTCCCCCCAGCAGCCTCGCCCCTGGCTCCCGGGCACCCATAGCAGGGTTCTCATCCTTTGTTTGACATCACAAGAAGAAAAAAGAATGGAAAAAAAAAAAAACAACACCAAAATCCTCCTTTGCCACCTTCCCAAAAACGCCTGCCAGAAAACACACAAGCAAACCCCACCAAGACATCGGATCAACTTTTCACCTCTCAAGTTTATTTTTCCACAGATTCCAGGGCCAGCAAAGCCAAGCCAGTGTGGAGGAGGAGGGGGAAGCCCATAGGACTTGGACTGTGTGACCTGCAACAGCTTCACATTCTTGGGGTCCATTGTGCAGTGTGGAGGGCTGGAGACCAGATAGTGTCACTCCTGCCCAGGACAGAGGGGCCTGGGACTCTGGAGAGAGGGGACTATAGGGGCTATAAGGCAGGCAGGTGGGCTGGGAGATGGAGGCACTTTGAGACACACAGCCAACTTCATCTGTCCCACATGCGCTATCCTTGCTCCTCTGCGAAAAGGATGGATGTCCCCAGAGGCGAAGCCTGCCCGTTGTCCGTGGCTCTCTCTGGCAGGTGTCCCATGACCTGGCCAGCCTCCTGCCTCAACACCCTTGCTCATCGCCCTCGCTCAACTCCTCCACCAAGTATTTGGCTTATTTGGGAAAAGAATAAGAAATCAAATGGTGAGAATCCACTTAGCAACTTCCTCATTCCTGAAAAAAAAGAAAGAAATTTTTTTAAATTGTGAATTCAAGGAAGACAGCCCGAGGACTGGGGGAGAATCTCCACACAGCTGTGTAACTGAGCCCTGCCTCCCGTTGCTTGGATTCTCTTCCCTGAATGCAGATAAGGAGGGGTGGCGTCTGGAGATGCTGGCTCCACGATAGGGCATGCTTCAGGGAGATGTCCTGCAGGATTTCAGAGATGCAAGGATGAAGCCTTGACTGTTTTCTTCCATCCACCTTCGCAACACTGAGAAAAAGGAAATGGGGTTGTGCGGTGGGGGGAGCTCACGATAGGAAGCTCAGCCCCCCTAGCTGTGCAAGAAGGTATGCTCTTGTGTACCACTTCCTCAGAGTGAACACCTTCCCGCTAACCCATGCACCTGCCCCCATAAACTTGTAAGAAAAAGGGTCCAGGAGCCCCTCCCCAGAGGATGCCCTGGGGCTTCTTTGCCCAACAATGTCCTCACTTCAAGATCTGTGTGTCCCATGTCTACCCACAACACACAGGTCCCAAAGGGGCGGCCCAGTGCCTGGTCCTGAGGCTTTACAAAGAATCAAAGATCACTTGAAACCCTCCCAGGCTAGGTTCAGCGAAGCCAGAGCTGGGAAGGACCAGCCAGGAAGCTCTGTCCAAACTGGACACGGCAGTTGAGAAGCATGATAGCCAGGAGAGGCGGGTCAGATGGGATCCAGGGACAAGAATAGCTGATGGGAGGGAATGCTCATACTCCCGGGAATGTTCTGTAAAAAGCCACGGGGCCTGAACTTCATATCAGCTTTGAGCTTCCACCGCAAAGTTGTGGGAGGAGTTTTTCTGATGTCCTGGCTTGTCTGAGGTCCACGGGGACGCCAACCAGCCCTTTAAGGCTCAGCCTACTGCTGGGAACGCATGACTGCCCCCTTCAGAAGCTCCACTAGGGCATGTCCAAGTCAATTAAGGACCAGCCTTGCTGGGAGTATACACTGTAGTTACTGCTGGCCTTATTGAGAGGCCTAAGTGGGGAACCTGTAGCTGTCCTAGGCAATCCCTAATTAGTCACTGCTAATTCCTACTGGTCAGGGAAACCTGAGTCAAAGGCCTAAGTAAAGGGATACACTCAGGCTACTAAGTGTGTGGGCTCCTCCCTACACACCTACCTGCTGGGATACATGAATGAGAAAATGCTGGAAGCCCAGTCAGCCTGCTGTGTGCGAACAATGGCTCTTCACAGAGACCTCTCCTAAGCAGGTCCTAAGGTTCCTAAGCCAGGAAGCACAGCCTTGTCCCCAAAGGACAGCAAAGGGCTGAGGCCCTGGCCCTCCGGGGAGTCAGTTCCCAGGGCTACCTTGGACTTTGTCAGTCAGCTGGACCCCAACCCCTGCAGCATCTGGCCTCTCCAGAGCCACGCATATGCAGATGCTGCATGAGCTCACACTGCCACGCTTATTTTTCCTCCCTCATTTTTTTTATTTTTGGTTTTTTTTTTTTTTTTGGTTTTTTTTTTTTCGAGACAGGGTTTCTCTGTAGCTTTGGAGGCTGTCCTGGAACTAGCTCTTGTAGACCAGGCTGGCCTCGAACTCACAGAGATCCGCCTGCCTCTGCCTCCCAAGTGCTGGGATTAAAGGCGTGCGCCACCAACGCCCGGCTTCATTTCTTTTTTAAACAACTTCATCTTTTTTCCTGTCTCCAGAGGCTTTAACCATTTAAGGTTGTTCCCAGTTTACATTAGGGAATTATTAGCCTAGCCCAGTCCCCGATGAGGGAGCTTTATAGAGGAAGCAGGAATCGTTTAAAGAAAAAAAAAAAGCATTTGTGTGTGTGTGTGTGTGTGTGTGTGTGTGTGTGTGTGTGGTGTGTTTTGCACATGAGGACAGTTTTCCTTTGCCTTTAATGAATCACCCGGTGCACTGAGATTCCCCCTCCCCCTCCTGTGTGATCATTGGAACCCTTGCTGATGCCCGTGTGCACATGCAAACGTGTGCTCATGTACAAGCATGCAAAGATATGCACAGGACATACATCGGTGTATGATACCAAAGGGCCTCTTGTCATGCCCTCTGATGGCCCCCGACTATCTCTCATCTCCATGAGGCACGGGTAGCCTGGGTCATTTGCACTGGGCTATCACTGGGACCTTTTGCCTAAGCAGCTGGGCACATTGCAAACTATAAATCCTAGATGAGCCTCGGGTGAACATCTCCATTCGGTCACTGCCTGCCCAGGGGGACTACTGCCTCCACGGTTCCAGTCACATCTGGACACCCAGTAGGTTTCCTTCTGTGGAACTCTAGGTTGTTTTATGACATCTCCTGGCCCATGTTTACATTTCTGCTGGGCAGCGGAGGGTCCCCAAGAACTCCACCCAGACATCCAGCCACATTCTAACGGTGTGGTGGGTACTTACCCTGGATAAGGCAGAGCTTTCATTTCCTCAGCCGGTGAGGCCAGGGCTGCTGTCTTGTGACTCTATGGGAAACAGGTTCACAGAAGGACATGCCTATCATGTCCTTTGGGTGTTGCCTCGCTGTGCCCTGAGGAAATCTGCGATGCATTCAGAAGCCCACGCTTAGCATGCTGGGGCTGCTCCTTCCTCTCCTGGCAGTGCCTCCTGCATTCCTGCAGCCTCTGCACCCAGATTGCCAAGACTAACCAAATAGCTGATCTGGGGTCCAGAAGCATCTTCCTCCAGGGAGCTGCTGCAGGGAGTTTACAAACCCACGCTGCCTCTCCCAGCCCCCTCTCCACCCCAAACCTGACACTGCCCTGAGTCAGAGGGAACAAGCCAGCCCTCGCTTCTTGAGGCCTTCTGTCTCTGTTGTCCATGCCTGCCCTGGACAGCGTTTCTAAGGTGCCGAGCCTCACCGTAGGCTGCCCTAGGCAGGGGCTCCCCATGCCCTCTCACACGGCACAGTGAAGGTAGTGTCACGTCATGCAGCCTGCCAGATGAACCATCAGCGGGGAAAGGAGGGGACCCATGAACAGCCACCACCAGCTCCTGAGTGCCTCTGTGGTCCCGTACAGGGACACCAACCCAACCAACACCTTGAGCACAGGTGCCCCATCCCCTTGGGACAACCCCCTCTCCTCTGTTTCCAAAGCGTTTAAATGCATTACCTTTCTTCACCCACATAGACTCCCAAAACGAAACCCGATACAAATCTTTATTTTTTGATTTCAAAGCTATAATGAAAAATTATGGGGAGAATATTCATTATGGCAGGTGTCTATCTGTAAGAAAAATATATATCTATATGTCATATAGCTTGTTAGCAAGTTTATTTTTTAAATGAAAGGTAAGAAAGAAATTGATTTGAAATATATACCATGAGAAGTCCCATGTCCTGTCAAACTGTCAGTATTTTATAAATAAACTTTTTCTTTTGGAGTTCTGAAGCAGTGGTCCTTTTCCTCACTCCAAATTCTGCTCCTCAAACATTTGCTTCTATTTCTAGCCACCTGGGGATTGTACCAAGCGAGCCAAGGGCAGGACTCCTCTGTCCTCTTAACTCATCGGTAGGTGGTCTCTATACCTTTAAACAGAAAGTCCTGCTTTAGGCTGGGAGTGTAACTCAGTGGCAGGGTCAGTCCAGTCCAGCATGCAGATTGAACCCAGGGTCAATCTCTAGCACCAAAAAGAGAAAAAGGAAGAATATGTTACTCTAAGTTTGGGGAGCAAGAGTCCCTCAGAAACATGATGCAACTGATAATGGTCAACAATGATGGCAGCAGGGGGTCAGAGAGATGTCTCAGTGGTTACCAGTGCTTGTAGCTAGTGCTGAGGTCGAAAGTTCAGTTCCCAGCACCCACATCCTTGGGTTGCCCACAACTGCCTGTAACTCCAGAGCTAGGGGATCCAACTCCCTTTTCAGCCAACCCTGTACACACACACACACACACACACACACACACACACACACACACACACACACACAATGACAAATATGTAAAATAATAATGATAGCAAGAGGTGACACATGTATGCCACACTCCATGGCCAGCTTGGGTCAGGTGATCACTTGATAGGCAGTAACTGTGAAGCCGTTGTGACAGGAGCAGAGAGAGCTTGCTCTCTGACTTGCTTTCTGGAAGCGTGGAGCCAGGATCCGTCTATACTGAAGTATTCTGACTCGGGAGCCATGCACGCCCAGATCTGGTTAGCAGCTCTTCGTTAGCTTTTAATCTCTACAAATCTAACATCGCTTCTCCCTCCACCCCACCCCATACCCCCCTCTCCAGTCCCTTCCTGCTCCCCCACCCCCACCCCCATCCTGTAGCCCTTCCACTTAAGGTTTATTTAATGTTTGTGGTAGGACTTTTTGTTTTGCATTTGTTTACTTTTTACTATTTTTTTTAAGAGTCTTACTTCCCACACTGGTCTGGAAGTCGCAACAATCCTCCTGCCTCAGCATCCCAAATGCTGGGACTACATAACTGTTGAACTGATCAGTTTTCAATTAGCAGCACTGTGGAGGCAGAAGAGGCTGGCAGATCTTTGTGATTTCAAGACAAGCTTGGTCTATACAGTGACTTCAAGGCCAGTCAGGGCCGCATAGTGAGACCTTATCTCAAAAAGAAGAAGAAAAAAAAAGATATATGTAGCCGGGCATTGGTGGTGCATGCCTTTAATCCCAGCACTCAGGAGGCAGAGGCAGGCGGGATCTCTGTGAGTTCGAGGCCAGCCTGGTCTACAGAGTGAGTTCCAGGACAGCCTCCAAAACAATACAGAGAAACCCTGTCTCGAAAAAACAAACAAACAAACAAAAAAAGATATATGTAGATTAAATAGTGCATTTTACTTAAAATGCACAAATGTGAATTCATTCCCCAATCCGTTGGTCTCAGGCCATGACATTATCCTTTTTCTGCAACTTGGCAGTTCTCTGTGATCACCTATTTTGCATAAACCGAGTCTATTTTACATAAATCACACTTAGTGCATTCCTCTCTCTGCTTTTTTCTTTTTTCTTCTTTCCTAATCCTCTTGCTCTTCGTTTGTTTCTTTTTAAAGCTGTTTTTGAAATTTTCTTTTTTTTTTTTAATGAGTATGGGTGTTTTGCCTGCCAGGTGAGTGTGCATGGTGTATGTGCAATGCCCTCAGAGACCAAAACAGGGCTTTGGATTTCCCCCTGGGACTGCAGTTACTAATGATTATAGTGCTACCATGTGGGTGCAAAACACTCCAAAATGAGTCCTCTGGAAGAGCAGCCAGTGCTTGTAACCACTGAGCCATCTCTCCAGCCCTTTGGTTTCTCAAGTCTGTGTTCCCGGATGGCCTTGAACTAAAAGTCGTCCTGCTTTAACTTCTGAGTGATAGATTATAGACGTGTACTTCTGTGTCTTACCTCTGTTCATTTGTCAGTTTGAGCACGATCTCACTGTGTAGTCCAGGTTGGCCCAGAACTCACTGTGTAGTCCAGAGTAGCCTGAAGCTCATAGCGAATCTCCTGCCTCAGCCTTCTGAGTGCCTGGATTGCAGGCATGAACTATCATTCCCAGTTTAAGTTTCTATTGAACTGGGCATGGTGGCACATATATTTAATCCCAGCATTTGGGAGGCAGACGCAGGCGATCGATCTCTATGAGTTTGAGGCCAGCCTGGTCTACATAGCAAGTTATGTAGGTTACATAAGTGAGATGGGGTCTCAACACCACCCTACCTCCCCAAAAAGAAATTGAAAAACAAAACACACACACACACACACACAGACATACACACACAAGTGCGCGCGCGGAGGTCAGAGAGTGACTCCTCCCACAGTTTGGGTTCAGGGGACTGTCCTCAGGTCATCAGGCTTGGCAGCAAGCTTCTTTACCCACAGAGCCATCTGGCCAACTCCGAGTTTCTGTTTCTTAGAGTCTGGGTCTTTTATTTCTTCACGTTCCTCTATTAAGCCACGCGCTCATAGGAAGCAATCTCCAGCTGTACAGGTTCCGTCCAGCGAGTTCTCACCCAGCCTGCTTCTCCGGGCGGTGCAGGCTGGCATTGCCGGTGAAGCCAGGTGCCTTTTCCTTTGGTTTCCCTTCTCCCTCGATCATTCCGTTGCCCGTGTCTTAGAGAGCTTACGATGCTTAGTGTGCACATTGATCTCTCGGCAAGATTCTTGCCCGTCTCTTACTTGCTTACCGTGATGCAAACAGCACCGCGAGTGACACTCTGGCTGCTCCAGCTTTGTCACAGTGACTTTTACAGAGCATTCCATTTTGAGCAGTGCTCATTCCTCTGATGCCTGCAATGTCACCCTTGCAGATACATGTGTACCCAAAGGACCTCTCTCTTCCTTCTGTGACATTTTGGGGAACTGCTGGAAGTTGATGGGTCTGGTCAAAAGGTTGAGTTCCTATTTCTTTAAGGAAAAGCAGTTTACAGAAACAGCCAGTTGCTGAGGAACCGACCTCCAGCTCCAATGACTTTTTCCCAAGGTTCTCCAGGTCCTACCCATGACTAAGTCAATAAAACGTTTTGTTTTTGTTTTGTTTGTAGCTTCCCTTTACCAACAGGAACATATTTTTGCAGAGAAATAACCATTCTCTGCTTTCCACTCTTATTTTACGTCTTACGTCATAGTTTATGAAATTTTATGTAAAAACTATCAGAAGATCTACCAGCGTAAACAAGTCTGGGACAATTGGTGCTTTGTAAAAAGCCTAGTTCGGGGAGGGGAAATATGCAGGCCTGATGGACAGCAGCCTGCCACCTTCAGCACACAGGGCTCTAGGGGGTCTCCATGCTTTGCAAGGGAATCTAAGGCATGTATTGAATCCAGGAGTCGGGTCAGTTGAGGTCAGATAAGAGATGCCTGTATACTATACTTAACAGTCATTCTCACATTGATAAGGGGCTCTCAGTGGTCATTTGGACTACACATAATTTTGATCTTGCATATAATTTGCAATCCCATTCCCACATTAGAAGTAAATTCCAGACCCACAGCCTGAGGATGTTTGCTTAAAGTATAATAACAGGGGCTCTTTCAGGTCCTGGCTCCAAGATGAACAAAAAGAGACGAAACGCCAGTCTCACCAAAAAGGGCCCTAGCCGTGTGTAGCAGATTTACTGTAGGAACCATGCCCAGTGCATGCCCAAGGACAAGGCCATCAAAACCTTCAGCACTGGGAGCATAGTAGAGGCATCTGCCATCACGGACATTAATGAAACAAATGTTCTCAATGTGTATGTGCCTCCCGAGCTCTGTGTCAAGCTGCATTACTGCATGGGCTGTGCCGTTCATAGCAAGGTTGGTCAGGGGTGCACCTCACAAAGCCCAGAAGGGCCAAACAACCCCACCACAACACAGACACAACCCACAGCCTCCACCAAAGTCCACGTAAAGAGCTGGTTTCATGAGAATAGAAGAAAAGCCATCTTGTTGGGGAATATTATTTTCAGGTATGTGACTTTTGTTTACGCCGTATTAGTTTCACTCCGTGAAGCTGTGTTACTGCTAAAACACCCGGTGGTCCTAATAAAGAGCTGAACGGCCAATAGCGAGGCAGGAGCAAGGGTAGGCGGGGCTGGCAAGCAGAGAGGATAAATAGGAGAACCCAGGAAGAGGAGGAGCAAACAACAGAACAAGGAGAAGAGGATGTCGGGGCTAGCCACCGGTCACCCATGGAGTAAGAAGGAAAGTAAGAGCTGGGTGTTGGTGGCGCACGCCTTTAATCCCAGCACTTGGGAGGCAGAGGCAGGCGGATCTCTGTGAGTTCGAGACCAGCATGCACTACCAA